TATTGACCATCCAATGCTTTATGGTTTAAGTTTTCTACTAAACAATAAATGATTGAAGTTTAAATACAGTCAACTCTTCTTATACTGAATCCTCCGTAAAAAATTTCAAAAAGTTCAGTTTAAATGTTCACTATGTCTATAAACCGATTTACCAATAAAATTTATAAATGTTTTAAAGCTTTGTGTTTTGCTCCCACAATGTTTATTAAGTATTCGGTTAACCAGCTTTAGTTTAGAGAGATATAACTGTATATAACTAAGAATTGTTTTGAAAGTGAGACTGAACCAAGATTAGAATTAAAATATTAATGAACTGGTTTGATCTTTATCAGAGATCAGAACAAATTAAACTTTAGGAATGCTAATAGTCTTGCCTGGTCCAATCGGATCACTTTAGTCCACTTTTAATAGTTCAAAGTTTTAAAAATTAACGGTCTAAAAACTGAAAATAGATTTTTTTTGTTGTTTTAAACCGGATTTAAGACTAACTGCGAGTTATCAGATAAGAATGATTCAAAGAACAAAGAGTTTATTAAAAGTGTTAGATTTTTCAAACCTAAAATTGTCTATTTATCTAAAAAAGAAGAAGGAAAGAAGGTATTAAATTCATTCAATTCATCCACTTTAGTAGAAAAGAGACAAATCAATCGGCTTCTATTAGGTGGAAATGATATTGTCAATTGGTTTGGACATATCCCTTTAGCATGTAAGATCGACTTCAGCGAGATTTTGTATTAACCGCAGGACATTGCTCCTATCCCTATGATGATCCTCGACCAAGAATGTTTTATTATGGAGAATCAAATATTCCAATTGGGCCAATGGAACATTATACGCTCGCACCAAATGATATTGGTTTTATCAGAATATCAAACCCAGATAACATGCTGAAACCAAATATACAGAATACCCCTACAGGTGCACATATAGAGTACTTTATTATAGGAAGCATTGAAATAATTAATTCTGGTGTTCATATATGTAAGGCGGGTACTGCAACTAGTGTTACTTGCGGTCGTGTGAAAGCACTTAATGTAAACGTTGGAAGTCAAACAGGTGTTAAAGTAGGTCTCATAGCAGCATCCGTATTCTCTGGTCCTAAAGATAGTGGCGGATCTATGTTTCATTACGTTTACAGTGGTTATATGGGGTGTTATCTATTAAAACAGCCCTTTTTTACAATTTTTTGAAAATTGAGTTTTTATTAGATTCATATA